CTCTTTATTGGCTCTGTTGGCTTCCTTTAATTTGCCTCGTCTTTATGTCCGTCGTCTTCTCTCTCCTACCTTGGGAATTCCCGATGATTCGTGTTTGCTCTTCTCAGGTTATTGGAGAACATATCGATGGTTCTAAATACCCTGATGGAGTTATGTATGCATTCCTAGCCTCCACATATTCCTCATTTAGCATATCCCTTCCTCCTGTATTGCAGTTCCCTGTTTATCACTTAGCTTGATTTTAATAATAATAATAATAATAATAATAATTTACTGGTCAACAGCCAATGATATTACACCGATTTTAGGATAAGTTTGTGGTGCTCATTTCGAATATGTCATTGCTTTTGCTTGATTGCCTCTAATTTTTTATAAATTTGGTATCCCACTGAAAAACTTAGATGCGAAAAATACATTGATCAAGCAGGGCTAAGTTACTGATCGCAATGAAATTAATTTTTAGATCATGCAAAAGTCAAATCATGCAATATATATTAGCATTTCATTGCATATAATAACAGATTAACATAATAAGATAATTTGGATACCACTAATTAGTGCATACCTGGAGGTTATTCCGGGGATCAACTCCCCCCCCCGGCCCGGTCCATGACCAGGCCTCCCGATGGATCAGGGCCTGATCAACCTGGCTGTTACTGCTGGCCGCACGCAGTCCAACGTACGAGCCTCAGCCCGGCTGATCCGGCACTGACTTTAGGTATCTGTCCAGCTCTCTCTTGAAGGCAGCCAGGGGCTTATTGGCAATTCCCCTAATGCTTGATGGGAGGCTGTTGAACAGTCTTGGTCCCCGGACACTTATGGTGTTTTCCCTTAGTGTACCAATGGCACCCCTACTTTTTATTGGGGGCATTTTGCATCGCCTGCCAAGTCTTTTACTTTCGTAGGGAGTGATTTCTGTGTGCAGATTTGGGACCATTCCTTCCAAGTTTTCCAAGTGTAGATTATGATATATCTCTCCCTCCTGCGTTCCAACGAGTACAAGTCAAGTGCTTCCAAGCGTTCCCAGTAGTTAAGGTGCTTGACAGAACTTATACGTGCAGTAAAGGATCTCTGTACACTCTCTAGATCTGCGATTTCACCTGCTTTGAATGGAGATGTTAATGTACAGCAGTATTCCAGCCTAGAGAGAACAAGTGATTTGAAAAGGATCATCATTGGCTTGGCATCTCTCGTTTTGAAAGTTCTCATTATCCATCCTATCATTTTCTTTGCACGTGCGATCGTGGCACTGTTGTGATCCTTGAAAGTGAGATCCTCAGACATTACTACTCCCAGGTCCCTTACATTATTTTTCCGCTCTATTGTATGGCCGGAGTCAGTACGAGTCAATACGATTTTTTCTGTGTTTGTCATCAGCACATTTCAAGCTTCTAATTGAGCTGTCTATAAACAACCGGCAATCTATTGGTTGATGCTCAAGTCCCATTCGATGAAGTCCAGGGTTGGTAGGTAAGACACGTAGGCAACATTTAGGCAACTTTATTCCGAAACGTTTCACCTACACAGTAGGCTTCTTCAGTCGAGTACAGAAAGTAGGCAGGAGCAGTAGAGATGTGAAGACGATGTAATCAGTCCATCACCCTTGAAGTTGTAGATTTGAGGTTGTCAGTCCCTCAGACTGGAGAAGTTCTGTTCCAAAGTCTGGAACTAACTGAAGATCAAGCGACAGTGTTGAGACTTAAATACTGTCGGAAGGAGAGGCGCTTGGTCTTCAGTTAGTTCCAGACTTGGAATAGAACTTCTCCAGGCTGAGGGACTGACAACCTCAAATCTAGGACTTCAAGGGTGATGGACTGATTACATCGTCTTCACATCTCTACTGCTCCTGCCTACTTTCTGTACTCGACTGAAGAAGCCTACTGTGTAGGCTAAACGTTTCGGAATAAAGTTGCCTAAATGTTGCCTATGTGTCTTATCTACCAACCTGTCGGTATTGTATACCATTTTGATATTCAAGTTCAGGGATATTATTGCAATATACAAGTTCTTTCATTTTTGCTGAAGTGGGGAAGGAGTTCAACCTTTCTTATCCGAAAAGCTGTTATTGTAACTTCTTGTTGAAGACAATTCTTTTCTATCAGTCTGAATGCTAAAAGTTTAGATGTTTGCTTTGACAAACTGAGGTCATGCATCAGATCAATGAGTTTTTCTTGGGAGAACTGCTGGGGTGTTGAAATGCTTACTTCATATTCACTTCCACTACCTGTGTTACATCCTAAACCCTGAGTTTCTTCAACATCTGACAACAGAAGGTCAGGTAATGTTGTAAACACTGGTATGGGAACGTCCTCGCTGTGTGACACAGGTCTCCTTGCTGACTCCAAAGCATGATATTCCCATTTAACTTTCTCGTATCAATTGAAACTTTTTACACTCACCATACAGAAATAACAATCGTCGTGGTGGTTTTTCGGTTTTCTTCACACCACAGGCATGCTGAAGCTTAATTTTTTTCTTTGCCTGTTGTTCCCCTGTCATAAACATTCTACACAGGTTTTGCAGACCATATGGGGAGCCCAAGACTTGTTTTGTTCTCTAAGCACCACTCCAGAATAAGCAAGATGAACTCGTTTTACAAAATCTGTGATTTTTTCCTTGTTTTAGCAAAGAGTATTAGCTACAAATATAACAAAATACACTAGGATTGTTTAAGCAAACTTTTCGTGAAGAACTCATGTTTATCTGGAAAAAATGCCAAAATTAAGTTTACAGTATTGTCACTTGGTCGTCGTTGATACAAGTCCTTTCGTTAAATATTGAATCACGTAAAAATAAAATTCTAATCTTTATTAAAACTATCTGTATATACAAATTGTCACAACATTTACATACACACGCGTTAGGGCTTAGTTCTTCGTTAACTGAGGGTAGGTACGCAATATCTCACAAACAAGAGATAATTTGAAAAACCTACTGCTATTTTCGAATTCAGCAGCCCCAAGATATCCTATATACCTTCAAATATCTTTAGCAATGAATTTTTTTGTTGATTAATGTAATAATAATAATATTGAGAACTCTTTATAAATTGATATTAAGGTATCATATGATTCATGTGTGAGTGGTTAACTTCCTCTTCTGACTATCCATATGTTCACGTCTCGTTGAAGTGATAATATTGATATTAAATTCGGTTTAAGCTAGTTTCAACAACCTGGCCATATCCACACCAGCCTGGGAAAAAACCCAGCTCTTCACAAATATCCGGAAAAATGTGATACACGACTCCTGCATCCTCCACTGTACTCCAGTCTCTAGGTAGCATGAAGCTCAAGGACGTCCACAGGCTCAGAATCAAGTTATGAGAAGGTTATGTAGCAGGGACTGGCTCATATACGCACGACGTCCACATACAAATACTTGTACGGTGGTCTAGAAAAAAATATAAAACAAACACAGAAACGAACATATATTTTTGGAAACCCTGTGATACGTGTAAAATATACATTCAAAACTACAAATACAAATTAGATATAGATGCAAAGCTGCAGATATTTACCGTATATACAAATATAAATATTGTAAAAACAGTTCCGAATGTAAAAGTATTTTCCTAATTTTAATGCAGTACGATGAAAATTAAGTTTATAAACAATGTTAGACAACAGCGAAGTCACAAGTCACTTGTATATAGTCCAAGTCGGACCGAAGGGTCGTCATAAGCTTCTCTTACTTATGTGCGGATTATTTGTGTATGGTAAAACAGATGCACCCAGGAGAGGTAGATTGCTCACTGACTGTCTCAGACATTATTTCCTCATTACCGGTACAAAATTAAGTCTGACTGAACCCCAGTTGCACGTCCTAACTGGGAATCAACCTAATTGACATAGAACTCCAGAAACATTACTAATAATATTGCAGAAGACATAAAAACTATTGAAAATGCTGGAATATGTAAAATATTGGTTAATGATAAAGATTTGTTAATTTAGCAAAAACAATAAATTACTGTTTTGGGAAACTTTTCAGCAGGTCAAATATTAAACAAATATTATATAGAGATACGTTAAGAAACGGAAATTTGTACATTACAACATGATTGAATTAAATAAACAAATAAACAGTAAGGCTGGTAAATATAGGAGAGTCGACACTGTGCCGGCCAGAATTTTTTGTTACCTGTGTATATGGCAGGTTGGTGTAGCAACTCCAGAGAAGAAAGACAATGGAAAGTCTGTAGAGACAAGGGTAAACTCTCTCTCGTTACCGTGTCTTGGACTGTACCAGAATATATGTGCTTAGATAGTTCATTTATATGAACAATCTAAGCACGTAGTAACTATGGGTCGCAAAATTTTACAAAAATTTTGTAAGATATATTGTGGTAAGATAATGAGAATAAAGCTCATAAAGGCAACGGAGTATCAAATGGTTGAGCTAGATTGCAGTTTTCATTGCAGTAAAATGCAAAATTAGTCGTCCTGTCTCCTGATTTTCTACAACTGACCCTGTCTTCATGGCTTGCAAATACTGAAAAAAAGAGGTAACGATACTAGTGTCTGAAAAAAAATACTTTGGATTCTTCGGCCAAGAGTCGTGTGATGATCAGGATACAAAGTACAGAAGCAAGCAGTAAATGTCAATACTATACGTAGAAAGGAAACGTTTGAGAGAATTACTATGAATAGGCAATTATCCAAGGAGTGGAACGTGCACAGATTTTTTTAATCACAATCGAAAGATGAATCACCGAAAACACAGTTATAGAAACATGAAGAGTGAACTGTGATTGATTAGAATGTGCACGACGGTAGTAATGTAATCCATTAATTCCTCTTCTCCTCCACCCCTACTCTCACCGAATTCTCTCTCTTCGTTTCCCTTCAACACGACACTCCAGTCTTCCATTGGACAATGTTTACCTTGGCTAATATATTTCAATACTTAAAATATTTCAGTGATTTGGGTTATTCCCCAGGCAAAGGTTTCCGGGAAGAGAGATGCTGTGGGTATTTTGAAAATATATATGAGCGCATGCAGCATCACCCAGAGTCCAGTATCATTAAGTCAGCATTCACACACACTGCTCATCAAGGCTCATAACTACATATTCAATATGAATAGGTAAAGTACCAAGTTAAGGTGTTATTCAAGCATAACGAGATAACGTGTCTATTTAAAAGAGTAGGTAACCATGAGGCTGGTGTGTATCAAGTGAGGGAAGACAGACAGCTGTGATGCTTTCACTTGCATGGGTGAAGTGAGAAGAAGATTAATAACACACCTTATAATCATGAAATATATGTACGAATGTGCATCATGTATATATGTGTGAATGTATATTCTCAATAGCCACAGTGTAAAAACAGTGTAATTCAAAGCGCTTTCGTGACTTTTAACATTATCAAGGTATTGTAAAAATAAAGGGACAACAAAAGACTTATAAAGTCGAGATATAACATAACATATAACCCTCCTCACAGAGCGTTGGAACCAAGAATTTAAATTCAGAATATATATAAACCCAACGAATAACTGCTCTTATGTACACTATTATTGTACACACCGTGACAAATGAGCGGGTTATTCTCTTCCATGTTTTGAGAACTCTGAGCATTTGCAACCCTATACTATAGAATTTCAAAATCCAAGATGCATTTAAAATCTTGATACATTAAAAAAATAAGAATTAGATTAGAATGATTAGAACTTGCAAGTATTTTATACGATGTCTGACATGTCACTCTTAAATTTTCACTGACTATTTCTTCACTACATTCCCATGCTCAGTGAATAGGGTCATATGTGAGGTCATATGTGAGGTCATATCTCAGCTTTATTTCTTGTGTTATCCCATTAATTTTACTGTTCCTTGATAATGTGAGAAATCATAAAAATGCCTGGAATGTCAGTAATTTTTCTTGTGGTATTTTTTTTTGTATATATATATATATATATATATATATTATATATATATATATATATATATATATATATATATATATATATATATATATATATAATGTGCCGATTAGGTAAAACTGGTCAATTAGCAAGAACTCATTTAAAATCCTTTCTAAAATTTTCTCTTATACGTTTAAAGATATTTTTTCTCGTTAACATTAACATAAATGAAAAAAAAAATCTTGAAATAAGAGAAAATTTTAGAAAGGACTTAATTTTCAATTAGTTCTTGCTAATTGACCAGTTTTACCTATACGGCAAGATATATATAATATATATATATATATTATATATATATATATATATATATATATATATATTATATATATATATATTAATTATACATAATATATATTATGTATATATACATATATATATATTATATATATATATATATATATATATATATATATATATATATATATATATATATATATATATATAATTTATTTATTTATTTCTACAAGCTGACATCAATGACACTACTATATAGAAAGCCGCTTGTTATGCAGAGCATTTTGGGCAAATTACGTCAGTTTTGTCCCAGGATGCGACCCACACCAGTTGACTAACTCCCAGGTACCCATTTTATACTGACGGGTGAACATGGACAACAGGTGTCTTATGGAAACACGTCCTAATGTTTTCCAGCCGTACCGGAGATTCGAATTCCGGACCTCAGTGTGTGAGCTGAGTGCCCTAACGATCGAGCTCCGGGACACCTCGGGACACCCCGTAGAATTTAAATCTTTGAAATGTAATGAGCATCTGTCAAGACGTTTAATGTTTTAACATTATTCTTTGAAAAGGGAACGTGTAGGAAAATTACCAATAAACTTTCTGCAGGTCACAAGTGAGGCTAATAGTGTCCCTCTTGGTGGTGTGTGCCGTCCTTCTACATCCTACCACGGCTGCCTTGGGACCTGGCTTTGTTGGTAAGTTTTATTATTGTATTTAGCTAACGTAGTGAATGGCAAGCAACCCGCAGACAAGGAATGTAAACACTGTATACAGAACGACCTTTTTTATTAGACAAAGATTGGTTCTAGACAGGTTTTATAAGTTGCAGATGGATTTTGTAAATCATTAATTAGAATGAAACATCGCCATAGAAGATCTCATTCTGCAATTTTTATTTTACCTTTTTCCTTCGTCTTAACTGATTGCTGATGACGAGCTCAGCTTCGTCCTGAGTTTTTGCATGTTTTGTAGTTTTCACTAGCTTTTCAGTGAAAATAAAGCTTTCTAGCATCCATTTGGCTCTTCAGAATATTCAGCTTCCATCACTGTGTCTCAGTGTTCTTCTCCCTTCCATCTCAGTCTGTCATTATCTACCTTGCCGATTCCTGGAGTATTTTAAAAGTCTAGATCAAGTCTTCCCTAAACACTTCATTCCTCCAGTGAAATGGAGTTGTTTTGTAGCTCTTTTCTCGTGGCTCATGCCTCTCCAGCTCTTAAGCTCGAAATTTCTTGAATTTTTTTCGTGTTTTGAAAAAGCTCATTTATGATTCTTATTTTGGGAGCGATTTTGAAGCATTTCTCCTGGATTTTTTTGTTCACTTTAACTTCACGTTATTGCGCGGATACGAAAATACCGCTACAGAATCAAGTTTAATATAGTTGGTTTGTTTTTCCATTTATCAGGTCATACTGATGACTATTTTGCAGCTTTCATGTATAGCATGTTGACATTCAGAGAGAACACTTAGCACATTCTTCGGTCTCACTACAAAGATGCCCAAGGAGAATGGAATGATGAAGAGCAATACAGAGGTATATTTAAGATCTCAGCAAAGCTGATCAGCAGCGATATCAAATCAAATAATAATATCATGTACGAGGTATACATGCCTATCTGACATCAATGACATACTGCTATATAGAAAGCCGCTAGTTAAGCAGAGCATTTTGGCAAATTACGTCAGTTTTGTCCCAGGATCCGACCCACACCAGTCGACTAACACCCAGGTACCCATTTTAGTGATGGGTGAACATAGACACCCGGTTTAAACACACCCAACGAGAGCTTTCGCCATCAGGCCACAGGCCACAAATGTACCTTCTCTTACAGATTGCTACACATAAGCTGAGGATCTTAAACCTGACTCTGCATTGAGCTTCCTTGCAGGTTAGTTATCTTCTGATGTAGAGGGGTCTGTGAGGATGAGTGTATTTCTGCAACTGTCACAGATGTAGTAGCAATCAGTGTTTGAGGTAGACTGCTAGTAGGTTAGTTTTGGATTGATTTTTTATTGTCTATGAGGATGTAATGGAAATGTCATACAAACAACTGTGTAGGTTGAGAGGGAATGAAGATGGCAGAGGGTAAGTTATAATAATGTTTATATTACATTCATGGTAAAAGGGGAGAGATCGCTAAGCCCATAGAAGACATGGAGCCTGTGAAATAAGAGGCAATCACGTTTGTGCCCAAATAGGGCTGGTCAGGACTAATTTCACAGACCACAAGCCTCTCATCGGCGTGAATGAACATCCTTTAATGGGTGCAGAGTGAAAAGTAGGAATGTCAGAGGTGAGCATTTCATAAGGGTTGAACAGTGATGTGATTGTGTAAGAAGTTCCTTCTTGGTGTTCAAGGTGTCAGACACCTTTGTATAAGGATTGAGGTAGCATTTTACATTGGAAACAAAGCTGGGTCACTGCCATATGCAGCATATTTCGCTTGACTGAGCAAGGCTTTACAAAACCGTCTGTTTAAACAAAAGCACTAACTGTTCAATCATCTTTCAATTAATAATGGTGGAGGACGAAATGGAATGAATGCCAGAAGTTATACACTCTCAGTTGTCATTCTTTGATCCGCAGGCTACCTCCAATACTACTTCAGCCATCAGAGGCGCTGCTGAATGGCCACCCGATGTTTCGTCAGTGGATCACTTGACATCCCTTGATTTTTATTTAATTTAATGAGGGGGAAAGCATTAAATTCGTAGGCGTCATATAGCGCCTGGGGAATGGATGACATTGATATTCGATCCAAGAAAGGGGGAGGATAAGTCCAATATCTTGGATCAAGAGCCTGTTACTGATATTAAGATGCCTCTCTTCAGGGTGACACTCCCCGAGATGCTCTAATTCCACCTGATGAAGGGAAGTGACCACTTCGGCACTACCAACGGAAGTTACTTTAGAACAAGGCTGACTGTGGTTTCTTTTCCTCCCTGTTTAGAAGATGGATTTCACAAAAAGAGAAAATATCCCCCAAAATTAGGTCAAAGTGAATGGGAGAATTGGGCGACATTTAGCTTCGAACCTAAGGAGAAAAAAGAGACACAGCAAGGCACTTTAACCCTACCTTCCTTTGAAGGGGTATTTAATTTTTCCTTCAGAAGAGTTACACTAAATAACTGTTGAATGTAGTCGTATATCCTATATAATAAATAACTACTTAGACCGAAAATTATCAAGGGTAGAAAAACTGGTTCATTTTCTATCATTTAAATATATTATTGAAGAATTCTCACTATTATTTCAAGAAACTGACATTCACTAAGTGAAATAATTATTTTTAAATTTTCCAGAATAAAATTGGTTGATTTCGTCCACAGGTTACACTGTCTCACCGACTCTTAACTTATGTCATCTTTTGAGGATCGACTGCGTTCGGTACCCCGTACACGGATGTTGCCGCATCAGGCCATGGAGAGGCTAGTGTGTCTTCGCCAGCGCCTTCGCCCACGCTTTCTCCAGATAATACACGACAACTTCGACGTGTTGTACAAGCCATTTCATGCTCTCTCTTCTATGATGCGGGGCACTGACCTACATAATATTCTCTTCACCAGCTATTAAGGTTGACATTAAAATTCCTTCCCTTATTTCTTTTAAATAATTATTACTTTTATTATTATCATTAGTACTGTATTCATATGAATCATACAGCACCTGGAGAATGAGAGAGGTAATCATGGTTTATTCAAGAAAGGGAAAAGTAGCTGCAATTCCTTGAATCAGGAACCCTTCTCCAGCCCATTTAGGCATTTCCCTTGATGGGTCTCCTGACCAAATGTTTCATCCCTGACACTAACTCATCTCGGTGCGTCTTCCTCCTGTGACAACTGAAATATTCAACAACGTTTGTTAATATGAATGTTGTATAGAGTTGAAGTGTGTTTCCCAATGTGTACTTTTCATTGTTGTATCCCAATTTTCATGATTACATAAAGCAATATTACCGATGTTATTGTGTTTAAATACCTGTGTATGCGTGGGACTTTTCGACTTATGCATATAATCACATAAGGTAATGGAGATCATCGGTGAGACATAACACAGGAGGTAAAGAATGTGCTCCAGGTGAGCCACTGTAACAAGGGAAGTAATGGTGGTGTTTCATATGAGCCACAATAACCCATGATGCTCCATATGAGACAGTTTCACTGCAGGTTACAAAGGTGCTCCAGTTGAAGTATAACCCATGATGCTCAGTTGAGGTGCAATAACCCATGATGCCCCAGATAAGGCGCAGTATCATTGGAGGTTGTTCATGGGCTCCAGTTGAGGAACAAGAGCAAAGAAGGCAACAAAAGAGCTCGATGTGGAAGCGACTCTTTCATATTCCTCTTGAAGTATAATTTAAGTAAATTAATAATATATTCAGCATAAGAATTTATTCTTCATGGACCCATAGTGATGATATTTCTTCCTGAGGATACTTTTCTTATCATACTCTTATAAATGACAATTATTTTACTCGTAGTAATTTTTAACTTTTAGTTTTTCATACTTTACAGTTTCCAGATAAATCTTTGACGAAGAACTATATCGCAAAGTTTATCGATATCAAGGAAAATTCAGTCTAACAATTCGTTTCATTCGTATCCATTATCTAAGTTTTTTTATGGAGGATTATATTAACATAAATTCGAATGGTTAGGCAGCAGTTCTTTCCCGCCCAGATTTTATTTCTACTTTTGTTTAATGGTGTTAGTCAATGGTTCGCACAACACTTGTCATTGTGACCTTCACACACATGTTCTTGCATGATCGTAATTCGAATTCAACAACAGTTAACAACAATAGTCTTCTCTAGTACAACACATTAATGACGTCACTACACAATGATATACAAGTTAGAAACTACCATTAATTTAGATTTATCACGATCACTGCCTAATAACGGTGTATCGTAACGATACACAACCTGGTCCCTAGTAAGACAGTTCTCACCTCCGATAAAGTCTTTTTGCAATTTTGGTAATGAAACTTTTCTCAGTTTCTTGTAGGAAATGTCGACATAAAACTAGATGGTGATTCCCGGTGCAAAAATTGGTGGGATTTTTTTTAAATATTTTTAGTGCTGTTTCGTCTGTTTCTCTTCTTAATCTTCATTTCTTTTTCTTCTTATGCTGCTGCTGCTGCTGCTGCTACTACTACTGCTGCTGCTGCTGCTGCTGCTACTACTACTACTACTACTACTGCTGCTGCTGCTGCTACTGCTGCTGCTACTGCTGCTACTACTACTACTACTACTACTACTGCTGCTGCTGCTGCTGCTACTACTACTGCTGCTGCTGCTGCTGCTACTGCTGCTGCTACTGCTGCTACTACTACTACTACTACTACTACTGCTGCTGCTACTACTACTACTACTACTGCTGCTGCTGCTGCTGCTACTGCTGCTGCTACTGCTGCTGCTACTACTACTACTACTACTACTGCTGCTGCTGCTGCTGCTACTACTGCTGCTGCTGCTACTACTACTACTGCTGCTGCTACTACTACTACTACTACTGCTGCTGCTGCTGCTGCTACTACTACTACTACTACTGCTGCTGCTGCTGCTGCTGCTACTGCAGCTGCTACTGCTGCTACTACTACTACTACTACTACTACTACTGCTGCTGCTACTACTACTACTACTACTACTACTGCTGCTGCTACTGCTGCTGCTA